TGTCTACACCACAAGAATAATTTGACAGGCGAACTAATATCTCAAAAACATAGTGAACTTCCTTATGGTGTTTTTAAGCAGAAGAGAGTGTCACAGATGCTTTAATTTGGCTTCCTGCACAGAATGGTTGGATTTAATACTTAAATGGTCTCTTCCACAAATTAAATCAATTCAGGGAATTAAAATTAAACAAGTGGGGGATGCTTAGCTGAGGAAGGGTTTTTTTTAATTCAAGAAATATGGCATATTTGTTCTGTTATTTGTACACTTGGATTGCATGCTTCTGCATTAAAATCAGTACCAAAACTCCTATGTTCAGCCAAAGATGTACATCATTTGTAAATGACTGATGGTCTCTAGAGCTCCTGTGACAAATCTGTTGGCTTCAGGCAATGCTACTTTAGAGGTTTCAGATAACTGAGAGCTATTTCCTCACTTTGTCATCTAACCAGAGGGTGGAAGGGGGGTGCCTGACATGGAAAGGAGCCACAGCAGTTCCTCAATAGCTCATAAGCCACTGTAACAGTTTTAAAAGCCTGAATAGGCAATGACCTTGATCTAAGTTTGCATTGTATTCTACCTAATGCACTATCTGTATGCTGATGCCAAATGAAGATCATAAAAGATATCTCTTATCTTCCTCATTTGGCACTAGCATATAAAAAATAAGTTCTCTTCATTTTCTAAACCATTTAATGTTTTCCAAAAATGCATACTGCAACTTTACTGACTCTCCAGAATTAAGTTATTTAATTTGGATTTCTACATTTAAAAAATAAAGTTCTTGAATAGGTAACTCTACCTAAGGCCCAGTGTGGTTTGTTTGGTTTTAATCTAGTATGAGGACATAAGCTTAAATTTTCATTACTGTACAGACTGAGCCAATTACTGTACAGACTGAGCTCTCAACCTGCTTTTATTTTTGAAAATTACTACAATATGTGAATCCAATCAATATTACCTTAGGGTCAAGATACCACAATTAAAAATACATTATTGGTTGTAAAAGGATAAACTTAAAACTTCTAAATACAGCATGATATATCAAAAAATCATTTTCTTTTGTTAAGTAGTAAGATCAATATTCTTTTTCACTACACCATGTAAATTAATTGCTGATTCCTGCAGTATTTTGTAATTTAAAAACATCAGTTTATCCTTGGATAGTTGTTAGAGCAGAAATTTTCCACTGAGTATGGGGTTCAATTGAAAAATATTTTAGTACTGGATGCAAACTTTATATATTTCAGCAATCAATATATCTCTATGAAAGAACATAACATTTGATTTAGCAATTTAATCTTTTTCCCCAGGAAAAGGCATTCATATTTATAGCCACTGGGTGGCAGAGATGTCCTTTGTTTAAATTACATTCCTTTGGTATCTATTGTTAGTAATCAAAAGAGAAGTAGTAATTTCAGTAGCCAAAGAAGGGGTTAAGTTAGTATTTTAGATAGAAAGAAGTGGAAGGAAGGAGTTCCGATTGTCATTTTGATTTTGGACTTCTCAATAAAGTTTGTGGTCATCAACAGAGTGATTTTCTGATAAGTATCTTATAGTAATATAGTAGGAGAACTATGTTGGTCTACGGTAGCCAAAAATGTCTGAGCTGCAGCTCAGGTGCATGAAGTGGCTAAACTGATGTAGGTCTTAAATTAGGGCAAAGTGAGGAGGCAATGGGATGAGTGCACCAGTGCACCACTGAAAGATCAGCTTAGGGACAGACCATCATGGAGAAAATTGCAAAGAGTTAACAATAACAACTTAAAGACACCTAATCAATATGGGGAAGGAGGAGGAAGCAACAGGTGAGACACATCAGTGAGAGTTTGTTGTAATGAATTTTCTCTATAAGCATCTTCAGATGGTCAGAACTTTTCAGTCTTCTAAACAAGCTTAATTGGAATATTAAGTAAGGTGCCACAATGTATGAATTGGGCTTATAAGAGTATATTCATTAGCTGTCGTTTCTTGCACTTTAGAAAAATGGTTATTGAAGATAAACAGCCTTCTTTGTAATTCATTAAAGCTTCCAAAAACAGTTGTATTGTTTTATTAGAACTTAGGTAAGTTCTAGTTTTGATTTTAATGGCAGGTATTCTAAATTTTTAATAGAGTTGAATGAAGTAGAAGTATAAAATCTGCATAATGTTTTTTTCTTGGGAAGAAAAAAAATTGTACCTTAGTTTAGAACTATTTAGAGTTACCCTTAAAAACAAAAGGCTTTTATTTCTGAAGACTTGCAAATGAGAAGTTTCTAAGAATTTTCAGGAGTGTCTGAACAGGGTCTCTTCCTTACCACTATGTCTTTGAGGGAGTTAGACCTTGATTTTGCTGTTTCTTAGAAATTTATGAAACTTTGTTTTGCCTTATTTTCTAGTGTTTCACAGAATTGCAATATTAAAATGCTTCCTCTGTTTGCAGTACTGTGAGAGCTATGTATCTTGGAGAAATAGCAGATGATACAATGTAGCAACTGAGTCAGAAAATGCCACCTGCAGGTTAACTAGTTCTTGAGCATTGTAGAAAAAAACATGAACATGTAAATAGTCTTGGAGCAACATAGTTATATTCTGCAATTACTTAGGAAAACTTCAAATTATTTCTTAGTTGTGAAGACTAGGATTCTTGCTGACTACTGAATACTAATAACTGCTGCTTACTGTGTTCTTAACTTCAATATTTCTTAACTTCATAATTTTAAGATATGTTGACCTCAGTAACCAGAATTCCCACAGCCAGCATTCTGGGAGTTGGAAGTCCACACATCTTAAAGTTGCTAAGGTCAAGAAACACTGGTCTAGCTTATAAACTATTTAGCATAAAAAGGATACAGGTAGTGGGTGGGAGGGGAAGCAACTGGAGTAAAATGGAGCTTGTATGTGTTAGTTGATGTTGGAAGGGAGAAGCTGCATTTTAGTTTTGAACAGGTGGGTCATTTCATTGTGGCATTTTAGCATATGCTGAACCCAAGACAAAATATCTATGACAGGAGGTATTCAATCAATATTAGTGGTTTTCCTGTTGTGACTTTGCATATTGTATCAAACTAAATGTTTATAGGATGGTATGTCGCAGGTAGAGTTGTCTGGAAGTGGAGTCGTAGCAATCAAAAAATGTTTATAGGTGATTTCCTTTTCTACATTTTCTTCAAAGAGAGGGATGTGTAGTAGTGTCCCTTCTGTCACTTAGGAAAATATGTTTTTGCATGACATGGTTGTCAGCTGCTATCCAAGTCATGAATCCCACATGATTGGGAATCTCAAGATAGATGGAAACCCAGCAATCTTAACCATTGTAAAATTGACCAGAAAGCTTTTACTAACTGGGGTTTTCAGTGATACAATGAAATTATTATGGTTGATTGCACATTCAGCTAGATGTTTAGACTGGATTTGGCACTTTCGTCCACCTTAGTTCTTAAAAGTACCCCAATTGGGGTTGGCATAACCCTGGATGGAATAGGGAAAGACCTCAGTCACTTCTAGGCCTCTTTAGCCATTATGATGGTGATAGTGAAAAATGTAATATCTAATGAAATCTAACATTGTCTGTATTCTACCACATGAGTTAACCATATACCTCCCTTCTTATGATCTGTTCAGAAGGATGTTTATCTGGGAGAAGTTTATCTACAAACCTAGCCCTTCTATTTTGGCTACTGCCCAGATTTAGTTGTTCACTTAATGTGCTGACCCCAACTGCTCATGGAATCAGGCCAATCATTTGAAAGATTGGAGAAAAGGACTGGCTTTAACCTGTTAACTTTTCTAGCTAGCTTATATCAATCCAAAGCAACGGTATATCTGGTTCAAATGGCTACAGAAGCGGTTATTCTATGAAATTGGAAATCTTGCTGTAACTGAAGTATCTTACTTACCTGAGGTGAAGATCATGTGTGTTTTTTCCAAATAATTTACTGTGAATTGGGATGAGGAGGGTTTGGAGGGTCAAAAGGATGGATGTCACAGCTAAAATATATGTAGGGTGTTGCTTGCTTGTTGAATATAATCCTTTTTATAATAATTGAATGTACTCTTTTCTTCTTACTACTTTCCCTTGGTTCATTTATGTAGTTTTCTTCTTTTTATTTTTCTTCCCAGTGCAGCTAACTCACTCAGTCCTTCCAACTACATCTTGTTTTATTTCCTTCTTTTGCTGTTTCTTCTTGAAGATGGGAATAGATTGTGTGTGTGAAAGAGAGAGTAAAGCACTTGTGTTTTGCTATAGCATTCTATGTGGTTGGAGTTCAAATAACTTTATAATGACAGTATCTTATTTTATCACAATAGTTTTTAATTTATATTTTATTTATTTTGGTGGGACTGTTTCTTTTGGAGGGTACCTTTTGGTATATATGTGTGCATATTGGGGTTGGGGGGAACTGAAATTTGCAACTATATTGACAAGAGAAAGCATTTGGGGACTGCTCAGGATTTTTGTGCTTGTTATTTTTATTTACTATTCTGTTTTAGGAGAAATGTTACCTTAAATTTAAAATAGTCTTACTTTCAACTAAATATCATATATACTGTCTCCTTATTTTAAATTTTAGTTTGCAAACTTTTTTCCAGGGAAGGGGATTATCCCTTTATATTTTGCTAAACACTGTTGTCAAAAACTCTTTACAGCATTAAATAACGTCCTGGCTACGATCTAATGCATATGAATGTCTGAAAAATTATACTTACACCTATGCTAAACAACTTTTAAAATACTAGGGTTTGCATTGCTTAGAACAACAGTGTTGGTTGGTTGGTTCTAGAATCACAAAAGTACAATTCCTACAATAATGGAAAGATAATTTGTCACTTCTCTTACCAATTTAGCCCCCATATTTTCTTCAAATAAACTTGGACTTGCTGGCCAGGTTTTAATCTACTGGAACTTTTCTGATGACCAGCACAGAAAAAAAATGAAATTTGAAAACTCCATATCGATGTTTAATGTTAACTTGGTTATCTCTGTTATCAGGTACTACTAGGATTCTGAACTAGAAGATGTCTTCTCAAAACCATCATGGTACTTTATCCCTGAAAGACATATTAGACAATGGATTTCTGATGAGTGCTTCCAGCAATAACAACTCTCCAGGTAGCAGCTTATTTCTGGACATGAATCATGCTCCCAAATCAGAAGACTGGGACAGTAAAGGGACTACTCTAAATGTCAAGGTTACAGAATTTTCTTCAGGTAGTATGAAAGGAGACCTGCAAACTTCATGTGACAGTGGGACATCTTTTTGTAAAACCCCATCCCAACCATCTGCCTTTGACTTGTCTAATTTGAGTTCTGCTAATAACAGCAAAGCAAATTCCTTAGTGAACACGTACCATGATACTAAGTCATCTACACCATGCAGAGAAGACAAGGCCTCTGAACTAACTGAACACATGATACTAAAAAGTTCTGAAATGAGTGATGATGTGGTCTTCAAGAAGCCACTACAGCCACCAATATGGGAGATTTCTGGAATACAAGCCACTGTGGATAATTCTCTGTCTCTTGAAGCAAGCTTAGAAGATACTGGCTCCCTGGGTTGCATGAAAACAGATACGCCATCTCTGGAGAGGTCACATTTTGCTATGCCAGCTGATCCATAAATGAAGCTAGCTGATGCTTTTCTTGCTGACAAGTGAGCCAAAAAAAAAAAATCAAATAAAAATTAGTCTGATAAGATATTATTCCACAAAGACATTAACTGAAAGTGACTTCATCCTTTTACATTTAAGGATCTGCGCATGATAGCAAATAATTTAGTAATTGAGAAATGAAATTTAGAAATGAAAGCCAGATTTATTGAAAAATGCAAAACTACTATATTATGATATTGCTTTTTTGCCATTCTCCATGCATACCACTGAATGTCTCCTTCCATTATAGTTGATGTGAAGAGCTGAAATATGAGCAATGAGCTACCGAAAACATTGGTATAAAAACAGCTTCAGACTTAATCGGGTAAAATATTACTTCATATGCATTAGTATTAATTTGTTGTCTAGTCTTTGTGGGGGTTGGTTTTGGGATTGCGGGTTGAAATGTTGAGATGCCAGTATATTTAGTCACTACTTTTATTCTTAGGAATCACTAGAACTAAATTCAGGAATCTCAGCTGCTGTATAATAGCTGCTCCTATTTATAAGTGGGTTTATCTCAGTTATGGCTTTGGAGCAACTTTTATTGCAGTAAATGATTCTCAATCTCAACTGCCTTTATCCTGAATATTAGCAAACAGTCCAAAAAGACTTTAAGTTAAAGGAATATGTTGAGTCAGACCATATATTATCCTTGACCACAACTTGGTTTGATCTAGCAAAATATATAGATCTAATTGTGGATTTATGAATAAATTATGATTCACATTGTAGGAACTCAGTTACTGCTAAAGGGGAATCAAACTAAATGTTTTCCAAGGTTCCAGAGTTTCTAGGCCATTAGGCAGTTTAGATGAGGTTCTTTATTGGAGGAAAGGGCTAGTGTGTAGAAAGAAATAAAAGTATAGGGGGCATCAATGTTTGCCTTGTAATCCACTGAATTAAAATACTCTTAAATCCACAAAGATCCAATTGTTAAGTTGGATTAACCTAGTAGTAGGGCAGTTATAACAGGTTCCTCTTTTTTCCTATACTTTCGGCAACATGGATCACCTGATGACATTGTCAAAACAGGATTTGTTTATAGTGTACAAAGTGAAGTGGGTTCTTTATGCTTGCTGGAAACCTAAACCAAAGCCTGACTTTTGCAGGAAGCAGAATGCAGACCTTTATACAAAGTATTTTCCCTGCTTGTCCACCTGTTAGTAGTATGAGTTGTTTCCGTTTCCTTGAAATAAGTTGTTACAGAAGGCTGAGCAGGAATAAATGGAATTGAAAGACTAAATCTTGTTCCTATAAATAAAGTTACCAAATAGAACAAAAGTACTGGTTATTATGTGTGGAAATCTTTTCTCTGAGATTAAATCAGCGACTTCCATTTTAATACTTTGTTGGCCACATTGGCCACATTGTTTACTCTTCTGCTTTTAAAAAGCTTGGTATAACTCAACTGCATGTTTTTCTATCAACACTAAAAAAATAAATCACCTTAGATACTTATTTGACCTCACATGAACTGTGTTTAACCTGAGATTTTAACTGACCTTCTCATTCTAACTCAAAAATGGATCAAGGATATTCTCATTTTAACAATCACTTAAGACACAAATTTTAATACAGCTATCTCTACAGCTAAACTACTGAAAGGCCTTTCTGATCATGAACTGCTGAACAGACTTCCTCATTCAAAGCTGTACTTGAAGAGAGGCCTTTTAAGACCTCCTAATTCATGGAATTCCATCTATGTTTCATATCTTGCAATAACTAATCACTAACATGTATTTCCCTAGCCATTATACGTATTTATATTGCTCAGAACAACAGAGAACTAATCAGAAACAAAAATTTCAAATTGTACAAATGATTTATTTAAAAAACACATTAAATATACAATATTATATATATATATAAAATTGTCTTATATATATATATATATATATATATATATATATATATAGACAATTTTTCATTCAAAATTTTAGATTATCTTCAAATTTACAACATAGTGTAATTATAGAAAATTGGCAGGTAACAGTCACTTGTCATGTGCTTGTTCAATAAAATTATGATTCCTCTTCTTCCAAAAAGGACACATTGTTTTTACTTCGGATTTATCAGAAACTACCCTGGAATCCAACTTCACTTGTATCAATATCATGTTCCTTTCAGAAGAGAAAAAAATATTAAAGTACATCATACATCATTGTGGCTCTCCATTCCTAGCTTTTAAAATTTTAAAGGTATCGCTGGAAAATATTTTTATTATCTGAAATTGACTTTAGTAAACAAGAATACTTAGAAATTCTTCATCAGTAACTCAGCTCATCCTACTAACTACCTAACTTTGTTTTTTCTGTTTTGTACTGCCCCTAAAATTCTGGATATTCCCTAGTCATATAAACCAATGTACATAGAACTATTCTGAGGAATACTGCAGCATTGCATTTGCTTTTTAAAGAGATAATAACCTTCATAAAGAGACCCTGGAGAGATTAGATACTTTGCATAACACAAGACACTTCTGGATGTATCATATAAAAACCCTGGTAGAGACTGTACTTGGGGCTGCTTTCATAGCATCAGAGCTATATTATATTATGTTCAGTTGTGAAATACTTCATGAAAAAAACTTGAAATATTCTGAAATAACCAGACCTAAATACTATAAACACAAAATGGTTAAGGAATTAGATGTATCCTTCAGGACGTATCCTTTTCTCAAGTCATCTCCCTCTTTTAAGAGACAATCTTGGTGCACAATAATGTGTTAAGATTAAAATCTAATTAGCTTATTTCTATCTAGTTTGCAGTCATGAGTAAAAATGCAGTCTGCTTTATGCACCAGGTGTGAAATTTGAAGAGGAAGGAAGAAATACATAAATGCAGTCTATATGGGAACATCGCTATGTTCAACTGTATGCAACTTCCTTTGGGCCACATAACTTTAAATGGTATCTTGGGAGTTGTACTACAAAAGAAATGTAGCCACGTGATTTGAAAAATCAGCAAAAAGTAAAATATATTTTAATTCCCACATACTCAGTGATCATCATCCCTGCATATCTTCCAATTAAGGGTTAAATGAACCATAAAAATATCTCATGGACATACTCTTACACACACACACAGTTATTTGGGAGAGGGTAGAAGACTGTTAATATTGGGCCACAAAACCTAAGGAGATGGATCATGTTGACCCACTGGACACAAAATTTAGATCATAGATAATTGTTTTACAGAAAAAAGAATGCACAATTATCTTTACCTTTAAAAAAAAATCCTCAGGAAGTATTATTTCAATATTCTTAATTTAAAAGCTATGGTATATTTGTATGATTTTAGTATGCTACTTCCAAACTAGCATGCTAAGATCAGTAAGATATCCAATTTCTCCACAAACTAATTTTATATTTTCCTGTACAGAAGTCCATAGTTAATGTCATTAATTGGGCTGGACACTCCATTGTTAAGTGACAGATAAGCTCTTAAATTGAAAAGCCACATGTCCACACCACTTAGCAATGGCAGTTCTGGCCGTCCCAGTGCTATTGCTAAGTGACAAACACATGGGTCACATTATTGCGACTTGTAACTTTTCAGCAGCTTCAACATTGACTTTTTGTCAGAAGACATCAGGGAAGCTCACAAACCACAATCGCATGACCATGGGATGCTTTAAAGTCATAACTGTGAGCCAGGTGCCAAGATTGCAATATTGTGGCCACGGGAACGTGTGAGCCATAAGTACAAGGATCAGTGGTAAGTACTACACATTCAGCACCACCATATGTTTGAATGGTTTGCTGAAGAGTAGTCGTTAAATGAAGACCACCTGTAAAACCATTATATATGGCTGGAAGGAAAATGTTTAATAATTACTTGATTTAGCTTCTTGAACTCCACCACTTGAAAGAAAATATGTTCCAGTATATGCTTGGCATCTTGCTGTTCCTTTGGCAATTTATTAGTTACCCCTAGGATATCACCACATTTTCTGACATAGAATTCCAGATCATCTTCAGTACCTAATAAAATACAAAGAAGTATTGCTACACATAGATACAAATATTATTTTGAGTCATGGTACCTATTTTTGTACAGAATCATCTTCTAAAGAGCATAAAGAAAGTCATTTGAAACGTGTTTTTATAATTGATAAAAAACATTGGCACAATTGTATGTGAAAGAGATAGTTAACAGCAACTGTTGGGTTTTTTCATATAAAACATTAATAAGTGTCATTCCATCCAATGTTCATACATTTGTTGCTTTAAGCACCAAGTCTACTTATAAGCAATAATAGAAATAATTGGTAAGCTGAAATTGCTATTGAACTTTGGCTGAAAGGCAGTCTGAAATGCGTTTTATAAAATTCAATAAAGCCTAAATAATTATCTTATATATTTCTTCTATTTTCCACCACTCTTTTATAAATTATGGACTCTTCTATAATGACAAGTTATTACATATTTTGTAACTATTATTTTACTGACAGCAACATCAACAATATTTCATATTTTGCATACAAAACTATTTTTAAAACATATGAGTTTGTTGAACAAATTAATTTGTACAACTGAAAAATAATCAGAGGATCTAATGGAATGCCATAATGAAATATATTTTCTTCTGTTGTATTCATTACATACAAGCAATAACAGGCAATTCCATGTATAATAGATTATCTCTGTTTCTAACATATTGGATAATTTTATTTATTTTGCTTATAACACTAATCATATATTGCCATAGCATTACATGAGCTTTCTCTGAATAATATCTATCTTTATTATACCAATTTTTCTATTATCACAGAAATATTGTCCCAATATTGTATAGTCATTTAAGCATATAGTGTCTCATTATTCCAGTTTACTTTCATATTTTAAAAGCAATTCATAAGCAAATGTAATTTACTATCAAAACCAGGTTTAGTTTATCAAAATAATTCCTTTTTTTTAAAAAAAAACAAGGGAATTATAGTGCAGATACAGTTACATTTAAAAATG